AGGCTTTCTGCTCCCGTAAAGCCTTGGAAACCCTGTACAGGGTTGCTATGAGTTGGAACCAACTCCATGGCACATAACAACAACAACAACATATTGTGAGGTATGATCAATATTCACAAGGTTTGCTATTCTCAACCAAGGTGAGTCTGTAGGAACTTGACCCTGCATGGTAGAAAAGAATGTGTACCTGATGCCCATGTGCGGCATGAAGATGTAGAAAAAACCGGAAAATGGAGGTGGCTCAGAGGGGAAAGCACATCAGTATTTGGCACTATTAGTGTAGTGGTTATGAATCGGGCCTTGGAAACCCTGTACAGGGTTGCTATGAGTTGGTTCGGACTACATGGCACATAACCACCACCACCAGAAGTCTTCAGAGAAATACCTGGGATTCAGTTACACATGATCTGACTATACACATTAATCACTGTTATATTAACATTTGTAAAGAACCTCCTAGGAAACCCTATACAGGATTACTTTAGGTTGGAACTGACTAAATGGCACTTTACAACAACAGTTTATTCTCAATGACACAGAATTAAGATGCAAATATATAAGGATTTGAGGTTTAATTGAATACTGTAATGGTTTTGTGCTCTTGGTCTTATTTCAAATATATAAGAACAAACAGTTTATGAAATAATTCTCAAGTCTTTAATTAAAATCCATATAGCATTTAACATGTATAGATGTTTAAACTCTTTCAGCAACTCTGATATTTTAAAATCCTTTTACACAGCATTTTGGGGCTAACTCCATACCAAAAATCTACAAATGTACAACTTAACAGCACAAAAATACATTCAGAGTCCATTCCAATGCATGTTTAAAACACTTTACACTTGGCAGACAAAAAATGTAAAGCGATTTTAAAAACAAAAACTACCAAATGAGTACATGAAACTTTTCCCTTTTGAATTTTTAATAAAATACTGCTCTGTATAAGATCTAATGAAAAATTCCAGTTCCTTATAAAATAGTTACAAATGTGAGAAAAGAAAGTAATCAAGATATATCTGTATATATAGATGCATGAATTAAACTTAATCATACTGCTTAAAGGAACAAAACATTGAACACTTTGATGATATAGCACATTATTTATTATATGTCAAAATAGTTGAAAACCCTAAAAAAACCCAACTGGGTGCTATGTGAGAAAAAAAAAAGTAAGATACTCAGGGAGTGGGGCAAGGGACTAAGAAAAAATGGAAAGAACTTAAGCAAACAGTAAACAAAATTCTATTATTTCATGAGAAACAATATGAAAATTTAAGTTCAAATTATAAAAACATCTACAGAGACTTAATTACTTGGCCTGGGCAATTCAATGATATACCAATTGCTGAAATAAACAAGAGCAATGGATATACAGCTAGAAAAATGAACTTTTACTTACAGGTTTAGTTATGGAAATATGTCTGTACTTATTGGAAACTACAGTCTCCTTCACAAATTGCACTTGAGACGCCTGAATGCATTGACTGGTCAAGGCATTATTATTGGTACACACACACACATACACACACAGCAGCTATGGATTGCTGATGCTCCTCACTATTAAAACTATTGTATATATATTTTTTTGTTTTCTGAGAGAAAAGTCTATGAGAACTGAGTTATTTCAGTAAGTTAAAGGTGAAACTTACGGCCTACCTGTTTGCCCTGCTGTTGGAGACCTGTTGACAGCTTTCTCAACACCATCTTAATACTCCCTGGCGCAAGATGGAGAGGTCTTATGGAAATATGAATCAAGTCAATCTGAAAATATTCATTTCTGAAACGTCAAGCTTTATCCTGACTAGGAAACTCCTGTAAACAAAACTATTTCATTGACAAGCCTTACAAAATGTATATAAGGAACAGACAGTTAGGGTACTATAGCTATCTCTAGAAAAATGGCAAATGTACTTCTGTGATTGGTTTCTTTTCAGGTAGAGAATATCATTCGCAGCCATTTCTTTCTAATAAATGAATTTCCACCTAGAGTAAAGAGAATCTGGAAGCAAGACAGTGCTAAGAAGTATAGTATGTTCAAAGTGCTAGGAAATCATTCAACAGTTGTTTAAGAAAATGATGTCCGGAATAATGAGGCAACTAATTTCAGTGGAGGTCTGGATAGCTTGAGCTATATATAATAAAATAAAAATTAGGTGAGCACTATGAAAATGTATCATTTATTAGTAAAAATAAAATGATTAAGGAGTGAATAAAAAAGACCTGCAACTTATCAATTTCTTTGAGCTAGATAGTTACATTTAGTCTGAAAAGGAAACGATTGGGTATGTCTTATTTAACAGTTTTTGTTCTTTCAGCCTCTTCATCTCTGCTCTCTCTCTTTGAAACAACGAATCTACGATTGTTTGGCATTATCAGTCTAGAACCAAAGCAAATGACTGATCATGAAAAAGAAGAGAACAAAAAACTTGCATCAATAGTTCTTCACCCTCCTCCTATCACTCTTCCACCAATATGCAAAACCAAACCAAAACAAACAACCCTCCAATTTTCATTACTTGTATCCCTAAAAAGCAGGAAACTCTTAAATTGAAACCAAGAGTCCCACGGACCAATTTAATTTTTCATAGTCTCAAATGTTTAAGCAAGCAATACATTCTATCTGTCAAATTATAAAGCTGATATGACCTGGTAATGTAGAAAACTGAAAAGAAACAATGAGCCTGGAAGGATCAATCTTCAAAGCTCATGTAACTGCTAAAAAGAAAAAAAAACAAAACAAAAGCACCCAACCAAAACAACAACAAAAAAGGTTCATTGGACATGAATATTTAGAAATAATGCTTCAGTAAACAGTAGAAGGTTTAATTATGAAGACAAGCGGGGAATCTACTCTTCTGCACGTTAAGTACTCCATCGTTTTCACATGAAGTCCACAGCACATTGAATGGCTAAATAGACATATTTCTAACCTTTGGGAGTGGCCTGAGTTTGCTTCACATAAAAGGAAAAAGCAGTACTTTCTCCCAAATTCAACTGTTTTTCTGAGATGCTTAAAATCCACCAGGCATGACTAACTTAAGGATGCAGTCTCCTTAAGGTCAACATGAGGAAAGAATGGCCTCAGCCTTACGTCCTCTGTGGGGAGGACACATCTTCCACTAATCTCAGGTCTAAAAGGGAAAAAGAATCTAGAAGAATGCCTGACCATGACTCAGATGTATAAAGCGTGATTTTAGTCTCTCATTAATATTAACCTTTAGGATAGTGTTTTAAAATGGAAAGAAAAAAAAAACCCCTTTTACAGTCTATCCATACTATCAGCTTGCTTTGGTAGAATATGGGGGAAATATTCTTACAGGTTCAGTTGCATGGGCTTACTCAAAGTTCTCAGAAGATAGCCTGTGCTCTTTCCTCTGGGCTCTAAAACAGATGTGGGCTGTACAACCTTTATAGTCATACAGGAGTGATAACTGAGGCAGCTCTTGAATGCTGGAGTCTACATAGCCATGTGAAGTGAAGAATATTACATACTTTAAACATAAGAAAAGGTTAACTAACATTATGGTTATAAGATAACTTTTTCCTTGTATTCCCACAATAGATATTTCCATTTTCTTTTAAAATAAATAGAACAAATTTATACATTTTAAGGCCAAGAATGATGTATGATACTTAGGAGTTTGGATGTGGGTACTTAGAAGAGAGTTTGTGAGGCAATAAGGCTCCATAGATTTATTTGCACCTCATTGCTCAAAATCCCACTACAGATAAACAAACATTTCCCACAAGGAAATGTTGTGAACCAGTAAATATCTGAGCCTAAGAAATTAGTAGAAAATAAAATCAAAGAAATTGACAGATCATGAACATTTATCTCCTTTTACTAAAGGCACTACTAATATATAATTAACCTGCTAATATTTAGAGAGACTCTGAAATCAGCAGTTAGAGAAGTGAATTCATTTAGTTGAACCCCAGCATTTATTTTTCAAACAGAGACTGCTGTAAGTCTCATGGCAGGTTTTCAATGAGCTAAATGAAATCATGTGTAGTAATAAGCAGCTCCATACAAAGATTGTGGTTCTTACTTAAAAAAAAAAAAAGGTATGATAAATTATTCTCTTAAAAATATAAACATTATCACAAAAACTAAAAGTGAATATATATATAAACAAAACATCAGGTGTCCTGGTACCACTGGGACATTTTAAAACAATTTCAACTGCCACAGCTTGAACAATACACCTCATACATGACATGCAAAGACAAAATGCCAGAGCCACTAAATGCTTCTTTATAAAGCTACAAATATTGAACTAGAAGGAGACAGGCATTTGTCATGTAAATCATATACATCACACACTAACAAATGATTGTGTCTACATTATAGTACGCCTTAGAATTTAAAAAATTATTTATAATTTCATCAATCCCAGGAAACACTATACATGGACCAAAAAAGGAGTGCTCATATGCTAAATAAGCAGGTAAAAAGCTATCCAAAAGAAAAGTTTGGTTTAATTAACAACATGATTATATCTTGTACTTAATTTTATTAGATTAATTTGTAATCATTGTACCCTGTATATTCTGAAACTCAATTTTATTAGAAATTACTAATGCTGGTTCTTGAATAATCTAAAAAACTGTAATTATCTACTCAAACCTAGATTGCTATTGATAGTTCGAAGCAGTTACATGAATATTCGCATCAGCATCCTAAAGCTGCTTTGGTAAAAAATTTAGAATAAAGCAAAACTGGCAGCACCACAAGTGTGATCATTTCACAACCGGTCTAAAGGACCTTCAGAGACAGCAGAACATAAATTAAACTACATATAAATAAAAGCCATTCCCATGAAAATTTGTTACACATTAAAAAATGAAATTAAGCCCACCTTCAGTAAATAATATTTGATGCCAATTTTCATGCTTCATTTATGTAACTACCCCTCAAAGACAGCATACAAAATTTTTTTTATTATTGCTAAGATGATGCCTAATTCATAGTTCAGGATGCTTCTAATGACGGTTAAAGTGGTACATTTTAATGCTTAGTCCACTGCTATTATTTTAACACAAGGTTTTAATTTACAGTTTGTTTAAAACAGCTTTGTTGAGGTATAATTAACGTACAACAAACTGCACATTTTTAAAGTGATATATATAGTCTTTTAAACAGCATAAAAAGTGCCTGACAACTAAAATATTAAAACTTTTCAACTCAAACATACTATCTTAAAAATAGTACATTCTAATTTTTATGAAACATAGATCTGGGCTACATCTCATAAAAGGGAAAGAAAAGAAATTTAGTTCCAAGTACCAAATTTATTCAGAAGGTTTAGACACGCCAAAATTGACAGCCAATTTTCTTGGTTTTCTTCTTGAAGAACTTGGTGTTGACTTACGATGAGACATGCTATGGCCTGGGGAGGCAGTGTCAACTTGAAAAGATGCAGGCTGAGTGATCTGATGGGACTTTGTGGAAGCTGTTGAACTTTCCTGTGGAATCACTTTGGTGGTGTCAGAAGACCCTGGCTGGCTAGTCTGAAGTGGGGTAGCTTGAGAAGAACTCTGAGGCTCCTTATTCTCAAAATTCTTTTTGTTTGCAACTCGTTTTTTAGTAACCTTTAAGAAATAAAAGTATCAATAATCAACAATGTAGGCAAAAAGAGCTAGTATTAGACAATACCATAAACCCTGCTGCTAAGAGCTGTCATTCACTGTCAATTTCTGACCTCTACTTATAATCTTCAAACCAAGCTTTAATAATTCAGAGAATTTAGTCACAAATAAAACATTGAACAAGTCAACATAATTTAAATATAAAGAAAATCTATACTCCTGATTTATGTCATCTTGTGTTGGAAAAACGTAACTATTACTTGTTAGGATTATTATTACTATTGATTAGAACATATACTCAGAGAGCAGAGTCCAGACCAGGCCAGACTACATTCTTGGCATCCAGATCAGTGCTACGCTTCTAGTTGACACTAAGTATGTGAGTACTGAATAAGCTAATTTTGATCAATAGTCTTTGAGCATGATTTTGAGCAAGAAAAATCATTTTCTTTCTGAGTCTTACCTGCAGAGGTATGAACTGACTGTGCACAGCCCCTGGTACTCCCCCGGTCATGGGCATGGTCCCAGTATATGAAGCATGATGTAAAGGTTTTCCAGTTACAGGCACTGGCTGTCTCCATGGCATTGAGCCAAAGAAATGAGATGATGAAGGCATCATATTGGCTGTGAAAAATCATAGAAACATCTTCTTACAAATAAAACTTTATCATCAAAGCCCTGATACTTAAGACCTCTTACTGCTAGCTTTTTAAAAAAAAACCTTTTTGTCTCTTTGGCAAAAGGTCTTATCACTTACTATCATTACATTTACATATAATACTCATAACATTCAAGCTCAGGATCCTCTCCTCCAGTTGGGGTTGTGAACTATTTACAGAAGAAGTCAGTTTGTCATTATGCTGTTTGACATGAGCTTTAGGAATATTTGCACTTTTATTAAAATAATAATGATGAAAGGGGCATGAAATTGTCCCTACCCTAGGTGCAAAAAACAAAAAAAGCCTGGGCAGAAAGAGAAATCTTAAGGATCTCACCTGCCCCCAATACTAAGTTGCTTCCATAATGATCCCAGCCTATTAAAAAAAAAAAAAAAAAAAGCTCAAGTCTTGATATCTGATAACTTTTATAGAACATGTAGATTCTTTCCTGTATTGTAAATTTTTAATTTAAGATGTTCATAATTTTTATTTTCTTTGTTACAAATTGAATTAGTGGTTCCCAAACAAGGATCACCAGGGAGCTTAAAACATACAGACTGAGACCTGTGAGGCAGATTAGGAGGGGCCCTGGATCTGGGCTGCAGATGATTCTAACACAGACAGTATCAGTGTAGCACTTGGGAACCACTACATTCAACAGCAGCAAACAAGACACTGGCACATTGTCACTGAAGAAGAGATGCACTGTTTTTCAAGCTTTTCAGAGTGATTAAAAAAAAAAAAAAAAAAAGTTTTGCAGAAACCAGCTGATCCTAAAATAAAAAAAAAAAAAAAAAAAAGGAGCCAGATCTGCAAAATACTATAGCTTCATTAAAATTCAGCCACTTAAGACATTTTTGGATTAGGAGAGAAGAATCATAACACATTTTAGGGTTAAGAATAGTATATTCTAAAATTTCAGTATAAATAAAACTTCTAACATGAAAATTTGGTCTTGATATCACTTACAAGCAATGTTGAAGACAGCCATAATGTTAAGATGACCTATTTAAAGGATGCTGTAAGCACTGGGGGAGTGTAGTGGCTCCATATGATAAGCACTGGACTTGGAACCACAATGTCCACATTTGAGGCCACCAGCTGCTCCTCGGGAGAAAGATGAGACTTTCTACATCAGCATAGATTTCAAAGCCTTGGAAACCCTATATAGGTTTGCTCTGAGTTGGAATCAACTCGATGGCACGTAACAACAACATAAGGCCTGGACTGCAAGTCACAAGGTTCGCATGTTTGAGCCCAACTACCACTCAATGGGAGAAAGATGAGGCTTTCTGTTCCCGCAAAGATTTATAGACCTGGGTCACTATGAGTCAGAACAGACTGGAAGGCACTTAACAACAACATATTGTTAGGAAAGGAGTTCGGGTGGCTTAGTGGGTTACATGTTAGACAGCTAACTGCAAGGTCAGTAGTTAGAATCCACCAGCATCCATGGAATAAAGATGAGGCTTTCTGCTCCTGCAAAGATTTACTGCCTCAGAAACTGTATTCAGGGTTGCTCTGTGTTGGAACCAACTCCATGTCTCACAACCACTACCATCACCATATTGTTATGGGACATTGAGCTTCTGTTAAAGGTGAAGAAAAAATTTGGAAATGGATAATGATTGAACATGGTTAACATAATTAATGTCACTGAATTGAACCTGAAAAGAACATAGAATTGGCAAATGTTTTGTTAAATATCTATGTGGCACCCATACACGATGCTATATGTAGATCTTGTGCAGAGGTCAACACCATCATTTCCATAATAAATCACTGTTCTAAGTATGAAATACACTTTTCTTCATTTTCATTCAGTGAGATTTCATACTATAAAATAGAAACCCATAAAATAACTTTTAAATGTTAATTTGATGTTTAAGCTTTCTTCTCCTCATTAACTGTCAAAGCGCTGGTCTTGAACACCTATTACAAGACCCAAAGCATTCTAATTATACTGTTCAAATTCTTTTTTAAAATTTTATAACCTGAGTGTGCTGATACAATCTGATGAACTTGACCTATACCTATGGAACAGCAACTCAAAAGGAAAAAATCCTTACAGCAAGAAACATTCCCACCCCCTCCACACACAGAGTGGACGGAGATGGGCAACTTGGTCATTGGATACTCAAATGGGGAGCGGGGGGGGACTACAAAGGCAAGAAGTGACTGGCTTACAAGCTTTCAAGAGGGAACCTAGTGCTAGGGAGCATGG